GAATTTATCGTCCCAGCTCATAGATATCAATTTCTTTGTACTCGAGAAAAATAAAATCAATTAGAGGGAGGTCAAACGGGCTGTGGACCAAGCGTGATTAGCAGCCCCCCCCCCCCTAAAAATAGAAAAAGAATTAATATATTGTTATTCAATTGTTTTTCCTAACCCATTGACACAGTTACGATCATGTAATAGGCGGGCTCCTTTGACCCTGACGCCATTCGGGGCCAAGTCGAGGTGAACTCGGGCTGAGCAATATACAAAACTCCTGGATAAGGACCGAGAAACAGAAAGAAATGATTTAAACGTGCATGTCTATTTATGGTTTAAATTAATTTATGGAGAAATCATTTCAGGTCTCTATTTTTATGTTTCACTTTTTATGGAAGGGAAAAGGTCCAGCTCCGCCTGAAAACTGGAGTGACTGACATTATCACTGAAAAGTAGATTGTAAAATATACCTCTACTCTGATTTATTCCTTTTACGTAAACCACTGAGACTATGAACCTTACATTTTACAAGGTGCACTGGGAAAAACTATTAGATATTCTTGTGTGTTTACCTCATGTTGTGCCACGATTATTAGCACTTGGCCAAAAATAAAGACCCTGTATATTATCAGACGGTCCAGGAAGAGTTGAGAAAAAAACATTTGCAGTCAAAAATTCGTGACGCAACTTAAGTCAAATATTTCCTCAACTATCAAACACAAGTGTTCCAAGTTTTTCACATTACGTGTGTCAATTCTTCTTAACAAATCAATATTTCTGTAAATACCGTTTAGCTGTATTCTAAAAAATTCCCTAATAAATACTGCTTAAAAACTACAGCGGGTAGTTTCTACAATATCGTTTTTAAAAAGCAAGTCCCATGGGGTTTTGTTTTTTTTTTGCTGGGGGTATTTTATATATATTTTTTATTTTTTTATTTTTTATTTTTGGTTTTTGTTTTTTACCTAAAAGAGACATAATGCTTATTAAACGCATGTTTTGAGAACCTTAAGTGCAAAAAAGTTGTTCACTATAAAATCAGTTTCTTGTTACAAGTTTTGCCACGACGCTTCCTCAGAATTACAAAGTTCCATCTGACATTTTTTGGCTGTTTTGAATTGCTAAGACAATGAGATAAAAAATCAAATGCACTGTCTGCTCTATCACAATCGAAAGATTATTCCGAGTCGCTTTAACGGTGTTCAAAGAAATGCGTTCAATAAAGCTTGATATATTATCGTGTAACTCAACATTCTTACGTCAAATTTCTTAAAACTTAGTGCTGTGCAGATAGAATTGTGTAGTTCTGGGGTAGCGATTAAAATGTCCATTGGTGAGCTCTGATGTATGCCAAATATGTGTGAGAACTGGGGAGTGCTGTGAACAATCCCATTTCCCGCGTGACGGTGATTTATAGCATTTTAGATACATTTTTTTTTTGGGGGGGGGGCTCATTTATTGATAATAAAGTGTGCTTTTTTGTTCCCAATTTATATAATAGTTTCCATTTCTTCAATAACCTCTAGTGGTCAACTAAAACACCATATTTACAATTATTTTGTCATCTTTGTTCTTCTGTAGCGATTTGTTGCTGTATATCCTGAAATTTCCACAATAAACATTTTAACTTTTTGTTTACATTGTTCAGATTGACAGGACTTCTTCAAGATTTCCTGACGTTGTTTGATTCAATCATTCTACTTTTGACAATTGAAAAATGGTGATGATGTGCCGTAATATCATTAGAAATGTCACGTACATGTATAGCAAAGGCATCACATTTACTGGTTAACGCTACCTTCACTATGATATTTTGGGTAGGGGGCTGGAATTTATTTCAAGGTAAAATAGATACGAACTATGAACATACTTTATATTGAATAAAGGTGGCCAGATCAAGCCACGTCGAAAGGTTTAGGTAACAAAAATCCATAGGTGTATACCATTAAGAGCTTGTCTCCTTATGCGCGAAGCGATAGATAGGCTGGAAAAAATGGTCCTAAGCAGATAAAATATAGCGAATTGTAGATGTTCATTGCCCCCACCGACACAATTTTGATTATTGAGGAGGAGCGCTGCTACGGCTATGCCGTTCAGGGACAGCCTGAGAGCGATACAACGTCCCAGCAGACAGACGGAGATACTTGTTTAAGAGTCTCCCCACACGGGATTCGAAATCATGCTCACTGTGTGCGATGGTAAAGCATTTCATCGCTGTACTACATACGCCGGTCCCGAACCAGATTTATAATGTTTCTATCGTGACAATTAATGTTTCCTCCAGGAACATTATAGCATACTGTGCCGTTCATGTTGCTAAAAATTACTTCCGCATTCCTTTAAACTGCTAGAAAGAAGAACTTTTCTCCTAACCTGAATGAGCTGCCGGTGATGTCTGTCTCTAGTCGAAGTTGTCCGAGTCATCTGCTTCTTGTTTCTTTAATCCCATACAAATACCGAAAACAAACGTTGAGATCTACGTATACAAACTTGGAAATCTGATTTTGAGATATTTGAACTGTGATGAGCATGCAAAATAAATAGACATAATCACAAACCAAGTGGAAATGAATTTAACTCCAATAGAGACATTAAACTCGAAGGTCCCCAAAAAATCCCGCTTAAAGTTATTATCCAGAAAGTTGCGTGCATGCCTGGTTTGTGATTAAC